TCTGGTAATATGGCCAATATAAATAACATCTCAGGAGCAAGTGAAATTATTTACACACAGTGAAGAGGTAAACTCGAGTAAATTATTCTTTTATTGAGTAGACGCTAAGAGTCCACTAGGAATTTCCATCATAAGATTAGCTACGTTAAAAGTTCTTCATACCTTCTTCGTCAACATATACCGTTCGGGACATCACTAGACGAATTCTCGTTACACAACAGCTTCAAAAACAAAATAACAGTCTATTTTCATCTCTAAACAGTAGCATATGGAAAAATAGGGGTAATAAATGTTATAGAAACTGATTAGACATTGTAAACGAATGAATAAAATAAAATAGTATACAGAAGTTCAATATCTGAGAGTTCACAACTTTGAAATAGTAAATTTCAAGAAATAAACCCAAACCCATTATTGATAGCTTAGTGGTTGAGACAGTTACATTTCAACTATCAGATTACATGTATAGACTCTTTGAATCTTTGTTAGGTTAATCAACAAGGTGGCTAGTATCATTGTTCATCACATTAAAAAATGAGACCATAAATTGACTACGTGGTTATTGGGTTACAAAATAAATTAATCTTTTAGTTATATTTGTCCTATTCAATTATAGATTCTGTATTTAAATTTTAACTTGTTACTAGTAATAGTGTGATATGAGCTACTTACAGCCACATAAGTAGTATATAACCATGGTCAGGAATAGAATGTATTTTAATAGAAGATCGAGAAGGAAAGAACGGAAACAGAAAGCAATTGGTATGAACATGCATAAACAATGAAATCTGAGACGATTGACTGATATTTTTCAAATAAACTATTTACTGTATAGTTCTCAGATTTTAGTGAGATTTTCTGTAATTTTGTGCTCAAATAAATTCAGTTGTCCTCACCTGTATTCTCCTTCACTACAGTAGTATTTGTATTATTTTTTTTCTCCCATTGTTCTAATAGTTTAGGGTAACAACTTAAACTAATATATATCTTCACTAGGGTCCTATATTATCCATTATTAAACATCATGTTTCTTCGCCAAAATCACTCATACAAATCATATTCATTATTACCCAAGATACACATACATATATATATACATGATTCTTAGTAGTTATCGTTTTTTTTTTGAAAATTAACAGACCAAATATAACAATTTTTACTTAAATTATATTTATTTGTTTATGTGATACAAATCCATCACCTCGTTTTATACGGAAAGAATATTTATATGTAAGTGCTTGTTGTAACTGTGTGTGCATGTAGAGTGGAGGTGGGGGTGAGGGGAGATTGTGTAAATAAGGGTAGTAGCAAAACTGGAAAATTGAGAAACGATATATATATATATATATATATATATATATATATATATATATAAAGTGATAATCCAAATGTAAACTTTAGATTATCACTTTATTTATCGATTGACTGTATAATTTACAGTTTAGTTGTCCAGTTTATATTACTATAGATTGATGATACGTATACATATCAGTAAGATGTAATTTATAAACACAAGAATAGAAATTTAAACAAACAAACAAAATTCTAGAACAAACATCTTTATGATATTAATCATTAAAACTTATTTTTGTAATACTTTATCCCAATCTCTTTTATATATTTATAACTGACTTATAGAAATCTGAAATCATAAATTATTGTTACTGAGTACTTTACATAGATAAGCCTTAGTCAGAATGTGATAACTGTCGTTCTAAAACGATTATGACCTTGTATTTCCATCACCTTACTAAAGTATTTACTCTGGTTATTAAAGACTCTTCCACGCTTCCATTTTATGCTTCTCAGTTTATATATATATAGTTACAGAATGCATACCAATTCACAGGCATCATCAAGTGTATACAACATGAATATAACATTGACCACCATGGAAAACCTGGAAGAACTGGTCTAGCTTCAATTGACTCATGATCTCAACTATTGAAATATTGTTATTTACATAACAGATAAATGGACAAATAAGTAGACTGAAATATTTATACATTCAGAATTCCAAATCGAATTATATTCAATAAGATTTCCATATTACGTAACAGATAACAAAGTATAAGTCAAAGTTTAAACTGTATCGAATACAAAAGTAAAGTGTTAATCAATATGAAAAAACAACAGGAAAGGATTAAAGGTTAAATATTAAACTGATGCTTAACATTTCACAGACTATAGTCAAGAAATTTATACTATTCTACATATTATTAATTTTTTAAATGGATATCATATCTACCATTGAGTTAATTCTAGCTTTTGTACAAAATTACTTCTCTACCTTCAATCGAATAGTTTATCAATAAACAGCGAGATTTCATCATATGAAACACGTCAAACAACTTAACTGCTTTTATGTACACCATGTTTATCCGCTGACATATCTCTTCATTTAAAGTTTACGTTACCATGAGATAAACAACTTATTCTAATCAATTCTTTTACTATACTGATGCTATTGTTTTAAAACACTAGGAATAAATTGACAAATGATTTCACAAGAATGATTCAGTTGTTGTCTTACTCAGATTACAACAAACTATACAATTCAATGAAATTTCCATCTCATTCTTCATATTTTACAGTTGTAACCATGAATACTAACTCCGCCTAGAACCCATCTGGGGCTACTGCCGGTCCAAAGTCCGGATAAAGGAGGAGGGTTGAACATGGGGTTAATGACCCCACTAACTCGCAAAAAGAACACTAACCAGAAAAAAAATTATTCAAACTATTTACTGTTGGCAGCCTATGCTCCATTGAGTGTAACAGGTGTAAGTAACCATGAGTACTACTATGATTTCATTATAAACCAATAAATGTTCGTAAATATTTTGATTTACAATAGAAATGATTACTGAAAATTGTCAAATGTATTGATTCAGCTAACGGAAAACATACAGACTAATGTTGTAACAATGCATACATACAATAGAAACTAACTATATACATATATACATACATATATATATAATCTCTATTCATTTTGTTGATCATCTAATGATAGATTAACACAAAAGTTTCGAATAAAGAAATGCCAAAAATATTAGAAATGTCAGTAAAAAAAAAAATTTGATTTTTTTCTCTCTGTAAAATAAACTCTTACAAGACAATAACAAATTGTACACGGGATTATTGTGTTTACATATAAATTGTACATCAAATGATTATATATTTATGTATCAATTAGAATTATAACCAGTTTCTTAAGAAAAACAAAATATGGTGGCGTTTAAATTGAAGGGTATCAGGTTCGTGTCCCGGAGTATACATCAACTCTAAGATATAGGTATATTCAACTGACGAGTTCTGAATTAGATAAAACGTACGTCTTGAACTTCAATACTAGCCATCATCCATCAATGCTCAAAATATTAGATTTTGAATCCTCAAACTTTAAGTTTGTCAATACCGATTTTAACGGTTTTAAACCATTGAGTTGAAAATTATATATTTCATATTTGTCAGTCTAAAGCAATACTCAAATAATTTATTTAGAAAATAGGAACGATCTAATACTAATCATTATATGCGTTATAATACACTAAACGTAATATGATTAGTTACCGTGTTAAACAGATAATTTATTATAACAATGTCATCTATTCTAGTGTGTAAAACTTCGATAAGGAATTCAGTTTGATCTCGTCTTCATTGCATTTATTGATAAAAAGCTTGTTCGATAAGGGCCAACAAGTCTACAAATTACATATATATGTATACACTAATACTATACGATCCATAAGTAGGAGTGCTGCAACAAATTTCTACCAATTTTTTTATGAATATATTTATTTAATATCTACCATAAATGGTGGTCGGCGGCCTATACTCCATTGAGAGCAACAGGCGTAAGTAGGTAAGTAGGTGCCATAAAACAAAACGACTGAGATAATAAAAGTTTATTACATATTTTGGAATTGTTGGTTTCATTGTGAATTTTAAGGAAAAAAAACGATTTTTTTCTATCTACGCCGTCATATCATTGTTACATTGAGAGATATTAAGAAAAGTTACGAGTACTTGAGGTGAGACCATAATTGATGGACAAACCAATCAGGTATAAGATAACAGATCTGTGGTGTAACATGCATTCATCCATTTGGTTAAACAGAGTTTTGGCATTATAGCTGATATCAATCCGTGATGAAAACCCTCAATATAATTTCTAACGTTAATCATCAACTGCAAATCATAATTCGAATTCCTCACACAAGTTTATAATCCTCATTTGGTCCTAGCTATTAAATGGACACGCTCGAGGTTGGTCTAGCGTCACTCAAAGGTCGTTCACAAATTATAGTCTAATTGAACTTGATATTGTATTCATCTGCTACATGATAATATTTACTAATTGTTATATCAAACGGAAAAAATAATGAATGTTATGATATCTTTTTATTGCTTTCAACTGTATAAATTCAACCAGATAGGCAAACCGATGATATATATTACCATGATTTATCTAGTCTATAGAAAAGAATTAATTACAATATTAGAATTCAGTGAAGTTATCAATCTGTAGTAAATAAACTTGATTAATGGATTATTGTTCAACAAATAATTAACTTTTGAGGATTGATATACATTTCTTTGTATCAATGGCTTAGTACAACATGTTTTCATTTGAACATTAATATAGTCTGAAGTCGATTTATATCATTCACATTAAGCAATATACCTAGGATGATATCGATATAAGTACAATTTTTTTTAATGTTGACCTCAATAAACAAAGCAGTGGTCTAGGAGCTAAGCGTTCACATGCTAGATCGATAAGTTCCGAGTTCGAATCCAGCGGGGCGCGGGATCGTGGATGCGCACTGCTGAGGAGTTTCACATTAGGACGAAACAGCCATCCAGTACGTTCAGATTTTTCATGGCAGTCTAGTTTCAATTCACTCATGAATTAGACTATAAAACACAAATACTTGATTCAATTAAAATAATACATAACCAGTATTATATTTCTATAATAATAATTAACTTACTTTGTGGGCATTACGTCTAAAAAATGCTTTACATGATTCACAAGTTAATTGACCAAAATTATGATTTACAGCTCGATCACCGCAAACTTTACACTTTTTTTCATTAGAATGATTATTGCTATTATTATTATTACTATTAACATTATTAGTAACCAGAGTGTTATTACAATCAGTATGATTGTTCGATTTTAAATGTTGTTGGTGAAAATTCAAACCAGTCAATTTATAATCTTGATTTGTATAATATGAAGATGAAGGTGAAATGTTTGTTGTGGTTGTTGTTACTAATGATGATTTTGCTGTTGCTGGAGTTATTGTTAATGTTTCTGTGCATAATACCATTGAAGATGACAATGATGATAATGATGAAAATGAAGAAGATGAACAAGAGGACGACGATGAAGATAATGATGATGATGTAGCCGGTGAATAATTTGGTTGAAATATTGTAGGATAAATTTGTAATGGAATTATATTTGTATCATAATGATTATTATTATTATTGGCAGCAGTAACAGTAGTCTCATTATTATTATTATTGTTATTATTACAATAGATATTATCAATTAAATCATTTGATATCACAGTATTCCCAGATAAATGGTTAGATGTTTCAAAATGATTTGACTGTTCAACTAAAGGTCGCATCATGATAACATCATTATCACTGTCTTGAACATGAATATTTTTACCATCAGTCATGGTGGTTGACACAGTCTCGATTGGAACAGGTAAAACACTATCCATTTCTGTATTATTTACTTTAATATTTGATAATTCATTACAATTTTTATTCATGTTCTCATTATTCTCATTATTAATTATTAATGGGTAATTATGATTATGATTATGTGTTGTAATTATTCCATCCGATGTATAATGTAAATGTTCTTGTAATTGTATTTGTGAATGTTCTTGATTTAACCATATCACTGATTGATATGATTCAGGTATATGCTGTTGAATACATTTTGAATTAGAATATTGTACATTTGATAAAGTATTTACCGTGGTATTTGATAGAAAATAATTCGATTCTGAAAATATTGATGAATATAATTCATTTTTTTGTTGTTGTGTTAATGCATAATCACCATGAGGAATTGTATTAGTTGAAATTTCATTAGGAATTATATTATCATTATTAGAATTGTGTAGTTGATCTGTTGATTGATCCATACCATAATGTTGATGTTCATGATGATGATGATGAATATGATGATGAGATGGATGAGGATGTGAATGAAGTGGATTGGGAATTATTAAATTGGATTGTTCAAATGCATAGAAAGGATTATGACCAGGTAATTGTTGTGAAATATCATTGAATTGATTAGATAACTAATAATGAGAATAAGAGAAATATATAAAGTTCTTTTTTAAATATTAAGCTTTTAATTATTTACTAACTACTTAACAAAAAACCGTAGTCAAGCTGTAGAACCATTGTATACTGAAGAGGTTTCTTCTCCGCTATTAAATCAACATATTAAGAAATAATTAACAGTATGCGCGAGGTGAGACAGTATATGGTTATTATTTTCTGTGGTTTGCACCATAGATTGATCCGAAGTCAAGCAACCTATGTATACTAGGAAGCACTGAATAACTGCTTCATCTCAATACAGGACTCTTTAACAATGCAACTGCACGAATTATCAAAGATTGAACCCAGAACCGTCGATCTCACCCGTGAACGCCTAACTTTCAAACCATTGATCCAGCACCAAATGGTTTACATGTTCATCTTCAGTCAACTCTCATTTGGTTGATAATTGCTACAAATTTTACTTGGCTAGACTTCATTAGTCACGGCTTCCCACAAGTACTAAACAACTATTCAGTACCTCTTACTTTTCCATAATTATTCAATTAAGATCAATCTGTGATGTTAACTGTGAGGCTTAACAATCTCCATAAATCCTTTATGACTGTAGTAATTTTTTCGTCTTGTTTCTTCTGTTTTCATTTAGAGCATTTTAGCTGTAAATGTTAGTGTGAATTTTGTGACGAGAATCGAATTGCCACTATACTATACTAAGTAATGAATGAGATCTATTGTACCACTGAAGAAAAAAATAAACACGTTTCAAATGAGAACAAAAGAATTTGTTTCCGACAATGTTTAACAAGTTATACTGTACAATACTATTTATAGTTAAATTGTCTACTAAAATAGTAACCTTTTGATTAAAAGAACAACAACAAAGAAGCGTTGAATATTGTCTTTAATCATTATTTTTTTTAATGATACAACATCCTTCTATTTTATTGTAAATTACTGTTACTTTTTAGGGCGAGACTATAATCTATGGATGAACCAATCGGGTATAAGATAACAGATCACGGATTTTGATGTGACATGCATTCATTTATTTAGATAAATGGAGTTTTAACATTATAGCTGATATCAGTCTGTGATGAAAACCCTCAATGTAATTTCTAACCTTAATCATCAACTGTAAATCATAATTCAAATTCTTCATACAAGTTTATAATGCTCATTTGGTTCTAGTCAGTAGGTAGATACTCTCAATGTTATTTTAGCTTCGCCCAAAGGTCATCCATCAATTATAGTCTCACCTTGTTGAATAAATAAATTGACTAAAAATAGGAATATAAATAAATGAAATTGATGAGAAGCTTTCTTCTCTGAATGAGTTCTATTTCTTACCACATTTAATTATCTTCACAAAGGTGATGTTTCAGTTTTCTTATGACAAGTTGTAACCTGTAGTTAGTAAACATTTATCAATCTAAATATGATATGGTGATATCGTCACAATATATTACTATAATTAGTTCTAAATTAATCAACTCAGTCTTCTTGTAAAAATTAAATGGCTTTTATAATTTTTCGGCATGTGAAATGTTTAAATAGTAATAATTGTTCCTTAATGAATACTTTATACACAGTTTTGTGTAATATCAATCTATCACTTTGTCACAGAGACTGCTTAATATATATTCCTTAGTCAAAATGTGATAACTGTCGTTCTAAAGCAATTATGATCTTGTATTTTCATCACCTTTCCATGTTCCCATTTTACGCTTCTAAGTTTTTATATATATAGTTACAGAATGCATACCAATTCACAGGCATCAACAAGTGGATACAAAATGAATATAACATTGAAAAAGAAATAAATTAAACCATATTATTTGAAAGATCAGACTTCATAAAACAATGTAATTAAACATTTATTACAATGATGTAAAGTAGAGAACACCGACAAAGAATTCATTGTCAATGATGACATCATTTAAGAGTCTTGTTTCAGTATCTGTTTATATACCGTAATAGTTATTAGTCTTGTTATTATATTAATTATCTTTAATAAGTAGCATCAAAAGAACGTTAGTATAGGAAGATCGTTGTATAATTAAAACGTTGTAAACTGTTTGAAATGTTAGATATTAAACTTTATCTAAAACAATCTAGAACGCCAGTGTTATTCTAAATCTAATACTTTGTCTAGAACTTCCTAATTACTTAACAAACATATCACTAGCGGTAACAGCTTCTCACTAGAACTCCAGGAGTATCGCCTGAAGTCAGTCACAAGTGAGCAAATGATTATTATCAGAAGGGGTTTGTGGAGATTTTAGAAATTTCATAGATTGAAATCATGAGTCAATTGAAGCTAGACCACCATGGAAAACCTGCAAGCACTGGAAGGCCGTTTCGTCCTAGTACGGGACTACTCAGCAGTGGGCGTCCACGATCCCGCACCCCGCGGGATTCGAACCCAGGACCCACTGGTCTGACTCATGATTTCAATCTGTGAAATTTCTAAAATCTCCACGAACCCCTTCTGATAAGAATCATCCGCTCACTAGTGACTGAATTCAGGAGATACTCCTAGAGTTCTAGTAAGAAGCCGTTACCAGTGGATTTCAACCACGTCTGTTGTGAGATATCAACTCACTGAAGACAATGGTGTACGGTGGCGCAACTTCGTGGATTGGTTGAATTTAGACATTAACACCGTCGGATGCTGGCTCAGTGGTCTAGTTGGTTAATTGCCTGGCGCGAGAATGACAGGTCCTGGGTTCGAATCTCGCGGGGTGCGGGATCGTGGATGAGCACTGCTGAGTAGTCCCATACTAGGACGAAACGGCCTTCCAGTGCTTCCAGGTTTTCCATGGTGGTCTAGCTTCAATTGACTCATGATTTCAATCAGTGAAATTTCTAAAATCTCCACAAACCCCTTCTGATAAAAATCACTAATGATCAATAATGTTTCTAAATAGTAATTATTACTAACATGAAGTATAGTTTTTGTTATATGGACGTTTAAACTTTATATTTAAGGTTATTTGAATGAAAATTGGTGAATAAAGATTGAACCGCTCTATCATGTCTCAACTTCATTTGAAAACAGTTTGATGAAAGTATCATTTGAATTATTATGGTTATGAGATGAGATTTATCCCATAATTAATACTAATAATTTTTTCTAAAAAAAATTACTGTAATTTATGAAGATAAATTAAATATTTTGATAATTTTTATCATGACGCTTTTGCTAATGATGTCGTTCAGAAGAATGATGAAAGCTCCACGACTAAACCATCTAGCTTACAGAACAAAACTCCATCAAAATCATCCACCTGAGCTACAGATCTTCTCCATCATCCCAAAGAAACAGTCAAAATAATTTTGTCCATGTCTAAACCTTTTCAACAGTATGTGCACATGACCTAGCCAAAAATTTAACCCAGAAACTTATAGTCTTTGTGGTAAGTATAATTTTGTTACAAAACTTTTCATTAAATTATCAACCTCATGATTTTTTAGTATTTATTTTAATTCCCTACTCAAATTGTCAGATTCATATTGTTTCTGTTTTGACAAGTTCCAAATAACACAAAACCTAAGTCCAGAATCTCCTGACAACTACCTCCAACCACCACATTGTATTGAAATTGTCATTATTCAAAAAATACTTTATAAATATATCCAAATAACTATCTGGCTATTACGTGTATACATTTTGGAAATATATTTTCCTATTTATGATACATAATCATTTCTAATGTAATTGCATACAGTTTCTATGATAATGTCATCACTATTTACATTCAGATTTACCAGTATTAAATTAATTCATCGGACCTTTAAAATAATCAGAGTGCACATACACTTAACTTTTATAATGATTCTGTTCAAACAAATCGAAGATTGATAGTTTAATTGCATTATTTATACAATTGGAAATTAGATAGTCGAAATGTTTGACCAAATTACTGAAAAATCTGAATGGATAAATTCATAGGAGTTGGACATTGAGTTAATAGTAAACATTAAAAAATTCATTATTTTATTGAGAACATGAGCTGACCAATAGTTATACACTAATGTGAACCTGAAATCGACGACCTGTTTGATCCTATAGGCTACCTGTTTCTGCCATCTAGATATTTCAACAAGTTATCTGTTTTTGTTTGTTTTAACAGATCATTATGTTTATTAATCACACAACCTTTTAAGATGGGTTTATGAAAAGTTCACAAACTTCCTCTGTACAAGTTGTAAAAACGCTCAAACAGAGACATCGTGGTTGTTCGCAATATGCAACAAAATGAATGTAGATTATTCAGATGTCAATTTCTGGACTGCTAATTTCTAGCTGGTCAGAATAAACCAAGAAGTAAGAAATGCAAACTTGTTGAAATACTTTGTACTGAGAATTCTATATTATACCAAAAATATATTATTGAATAAAGCTGACAATAATAAATGACTAGTCAGCTATATTATGGGACTCTTTGATAGTGCACCTCCACGACCTCGTCAGTGATAGAAGCTAATCCCTTAAGTTTCACTCATGAACACATAACCTATGAATTGGTAATCCTGAGTTCGGTAGTATACAAATCTAGCTTCAGTTACTCCATAGTATTTTGTGACTAACTTTCATTATCTTCAATGCGTATCTTCTTCACAACTGACACAGTTGAACTACGGTTATCTAATTTAGATCAGTTTATAAAATTAATAAGAAGTAACAATCTATACGACTTTCATACTGATTAATTGTTAACTTTAAGAAATCTTGAACCAAAACTGTCCAATAAAAATGTTACAGTGATTCTTTTTATTACAATCACCGATATTCTAACAAATATTTGTTTCCTTTTTTTAATAAAGCTAGTAGAGTTACATTGGGTTGATGTTTCTTTCTTTTTTCTCCTAAGGTACAAAGACATAACTCAAATATGTATTCTTCAACTGTTCTTTTTTTTTGCTTAATCTTAAAATGTCATTTTTCTAGATGTGGTTCATAGAGTGCATTATATTAGTCTAGATCAATAGATGTCTTCTCAGTTTACAAGCC